CAAGTTCTCCTGATTCTCTGATGGTTTTTTCAAAGTGTTTCTTTAGTTTTTCATACATGAGCATTTTCATAGGAATGTCTTTTTTGTGTTTAGCCTCTGAACCCTTTATCACCCAGGTGATGCAATCCACCTGGAAGTTTGGCTGTAAAGTGACAAAATCAATCTGTCTTCAGACAGCACTACCTTGTGAATGCTTTGTGCTACCATGACAAACCAAATATCCCTGTAAAGCTCAGCTTCTGTTCTTACTGACACGTTTCAATGTTGCCTGTAACAGAGTTACACTCATTTAAAAGGAGCTGTGAAATGGCCCTGCTGACGTGCCGGTGGTTTAAAAAAAAAGAAAATTTAACACTGACCTGTGAAGCATTGAAGGCTATAAAATCCCTCTAACTGAAGGAATGAAATGACAAAACTGCTTCAGATGATCTCTTTAGGCATGTTGCCTCTTGCCTAAAGATATAATCACTACAAGCCTTTTCAAAGAAACAACTTCCCATTTCTTTAGCTGCATTTACAAAAATGCCATAGATAAGTTTGACAGGCATAAAATAATATTTATTGTACTGGCAGCGTGATTTTCAAAGCATTATCAGCCAAAACTTGGTATGACACAGTGTGGTGAGCAGTGCCTTTAATATGTTAAGGGAAAAGGACATGTGGACAACAAAGGCCTGAATGATGCATCTGGCTCCTATGTTGAAGCATCTAGTTTTTAGCCTCATTAGAACTGGATTCAGTGGAAGGATGGCTGTCAAAAAATGTGAAGAAAAGCCAAAGTACACAAGAACTTAATATGAGACCTTTGGCTCAGATCACTGGCAGGAGGTCTGAGATGGTACAACAGTGAGAATCTACAGACTTGTGCAAAATAGTATAAAACAATTATTTTGGAAGTCTTGCTGTATCCTTTATGGATGAGTGCAGCTCCAACAAACTGAGACTGTTGAGATTACTTTATGGTGTTGGTTTAATTTATTGTTCAGTAGTGGTGGGAAGTGTAAAATATCTTTATTCTACAGATGATCCATTTCTTTTCTCCTCCAGGTACATACTCCAACATGTATAACAGACCCAAAGTCATCGAAGAACCTCAAAAGGTAAAAAACAAAGACTGGATTTTGTTTTTACAAATGTTAAAGAATATAGCCATGCATGCTCGATCTTCCTGATTATTAAGTGGATTCGGTTCATCTGGACGTAGCGAGAAACGTTTAGTGGTCTCTCCACTGAAAACGCTTCGTCCAGAATCAGACCTTCAAAATTCTGAAAAACTCTTGAATCTATTTCATTTTAATCCTGTTGTTGTTGTCAGTAATGTGACTTATGAATCCATCCATTTGCTTCTGCTTATCCTTTTCAGGGTCGTAGGGGGTGCTGGAGCCTATCCCAGCTGTCTCGCTCTAAGACAGCTGGGATAGGCTCTTATAAAACGCTTAGAAAATGTGTCATTTTTTTAAGGTTTATTATTCATGTTTATTCACGTGTGGTCTGAATTGAATTGTCTCTCTCTTTAGCCAAAGCCGATCCGTGTTTCCAGTAAGACGGGCATCCCTCTAGATGTGCTCCCAGCCAGAGGCCTCACAGCCAAGCAGGCAGAGCGCATGACGAGAATTAACGACACAGACCTGCCTCGTGTCTCCGCTCAGCCTCGAAGCAAAGAGGAGAGCAAAGGAGAGAGGAAGGCCAGGAAACAGGCTATCAAGGAAGAACGTAAGGTGAGGAAGTCTGTCCCGGCCTCTGTTTAGAACCAAATGATGAAGTCACAGCACCTGTGACCTGACACGAGCAGGTCAGCGAGCTGTATCTGAAGTCACTGCTGTGACAGTGGATCAGAGACGACTCCTCTCTGCACCATCTAAAATCAGCTGTCTGTCTCCATCATCAGCACGAGTTAATTTTGACCTAGTCTCTCTGTACTGCTGAGCCCCAAATGTGGATTAGTACACTGCTGAAAATATTCTCCTTTTAACAGAATAAAACGACACTGACCAGCTGTTTTTTAGACCAAGTGTTTATGAAGTGTTTGTAAAAATTGAGAGCGAGGAGCCTGTTTGGGGAGACAGATTATTGAGGACCAAGTCAATGTTGGTTTTGTTCTTTTCTTGGAATTTGTTGACAGTCAGAATGACAAAGGTCTAATTCTTTAACCCAGCCTAAGATTAACGAGCTGAAGAAGTCATTGAAAGGAGTCTAATCCAAGTGCAAACTGGGGTAAATACTTTGGTATCCTGTGCTGACTAGGCTCAGTTATTTATTTATTTTAATGATGAAATATGTGATGTTACAAAGCCTTCCCACAGAAAGGAAGCTGTGATTATGCCATGAAGAGATTTGTAGAATATCAGTTTTACATTTTGATTCCTGATATTTTTGATTTTATTGTATTTTTTTTTTTTTCTTTAGGAAAGAAGAGTTGAAAAGAAAGCCAATAAAATGGCATTCAAGGAGGAAAAAGCCCGACAGGAGAAGCAGATGTTGAACCTGAGGACAAATGTTCAAGGCCTGAAGCTTTAGCAGCTGCCTGCCAGGCCTGTGCCGACACTGACTTTTCAACTGGTCACATGTTGCTCTTCACCTCAGTGGAGCTGCCAGAACAGGAAATCATGGCAAATGAGAGGTCTGAGGGGATGTTGGGAAGTATTGGTTTCCCCAAATCATCCAATTCATTCAGGAAAGAGCAAAAAATGTAAATTTCATCTCCAGTAATCCGGCTCAGGATATCGTGCTGTCGAAGGAATACTGAAGGACAGGCTGTCACGCTTCAGTCATGCCTGTCAAATATGAATTTTGCGCCTTTATTAAAAGTACTTTAATCCAGGTTTCTGAGATTCTTTCTGTAAGTCTTGTCATGCTGTACTTTTACCACAGGTGATAAGGTGGATGACTCAGTGGCTGATTCTGTGTTAATCATATCTAAGCAGCAATATTAATTTTATTATGGTTATTATCATCAATTTAAAAAAAACTCACTGTATATAATGTTTAACAGGTCTGCATTTTAGTTGTACACTTACTTTCTTATGGGCCTGTTTGTCTCATAGTGAATGAGATGTGTCCGGTCTGAAGAGCCGAGTTTGTACGAGTAGTTTCTGAGCATTTTTATGATTATAATTGTAGTAATTTGGTCACTATATGATGTTATGAAATAAGCTTACATTGATAAAGCTTATGTGTCTGTGCACAAACTTAAGATACACATTTAATAACATCTCTAAACTATTACTGTAAATACAAGATGTTTATCTTTTGTGCATTTCATAAACTTTACATTTTGTACTAATTCATTGGTGTTCACTGAAGGGCTGAGATATCAACACATTTAGCATAATTAAAAGAAAAAACAACATCAATACAATTGAATTAAACTGATTGCTACACAAGACTTAAGTCCTTCTGTGCTGTTGTAGATCCAACTAATCACCAGCAGGGGCTGATGAAGCTCTGTAGTTGAAACAGGAGAAAGTGCTGTCCTCCTCTTCAAACAGAGATGAGCTCTGACGCAGGCAGCTGGAGGCGGCCTGCCCATCAAGCAAAACAGGGATCAGCTCCAGCACAAATTTTACTAACATTGCTATGGCAACTTGTTTGCTAGCCACGTGTCTAAACTGAGCTGTGAGCAACAAATAAGGATAACGAGGTGGAGTACAAACAAGAACAATTTAGAGGGTCACTTTAAACACCTAACCTGCAACAATAAAGGAAACGCGCTTCTCTCCACGCTACGTTGATTTCACATCTTTACTGGTGGAATGTGAGATTGAGCCTGAAGTAAAGTTTTGTGAAGCACAAGCAGAGAAAAACAGGAAATTAAAAAAAGGCTCTTTGTAGATGTGTGTCTCTGCCTTCATACTTAAACAGAAAAATGACTAAAGTCAGGAGTTAAAGTGGGTATGGGGAAGAAAACAATCACTTAATTTAAGTTGCAGTAATTTCTATTGATTCTATTTCTACAGGGCCAGTGCAGGCTGTGATCAGCTGAGCTGTGCTGCTCTGACATCCAGATTTAATTGACTTCAACAGGATTAGAGCAGATCATGTATCATGCTGTCTTTATACATAAAGGCGACTGAATAATCAGTTAAAATTTACATGTTCCCTGTTACACTGATAGTGAACACCACGCAGCACTGTTACTGTAAACGTCACCACTGAACTGCAAACCAGTTTAACCTGCTCTGAACTACCACATCACTTTTACATGAGTTCATCTGCTGATCTGCAGATAAGCTTTTCAGGCCTGCTACTGAGAAAAACTTGTTCAGTTTTCTCAAAAGGAGCGGGTATTTTTTTTTTCCCCAAGAACACATCATGCTGAAATATGGCAAAAAAAAAAAAAAAAAAAAAAAAAAAAGGACACATAACAAAACCATGTATGCACACGTACAAAGGAAAAATAGTGAATAAATGACAGGAAAACAAAAAAAAATATGGCAAGTTATTGGCTCTTAGGAAATCACCTGAGTGGTGCAAAAAAAGTATCTTACTAGTGCCTAGACAACGTTTCAAATGGTTTCTTTGCCAAGTTGTTTGAATAGTGTTGCCTTTTTAAGGCTTTAATGAACCATGATCTAAAATACATGAGTCTGAAGAATTTTAAACATATAAAGAAATGATTGCTTGCTGTTCAAGACATTTTTGCTTCAGTTTGGAGTAGTAGTTCAATTTTTTTATTAGTCTATTAATTAGCAGGATTATGTGTTTTCTACCATCTTTGATTGTACCCTGCAATTTATGCCTGTAACTTAGTGAGCAAGTAAGAACCTTGTTGTTTTTATCCAAATATATGACTTGAGGTAAAATAAAACATGACAGCAACCAAAAGCCTAATACTGATGTATCTACACGTTGCCTTTAACACCAGTATTTCTTACTTTTGTTGGTTGGATCATAATCGAAGACGTTATCTTGGCAAGTTTCAATGTGATATTATATAAACTTAAATAATGCTTCACAAAAACTAAAAAATACAAAAACACATTTTCTGGCCAGTTCAAATGTCCACTTCAGCAGCACTTCACTCAATTTATTAAAAAGCATGGCAACTGTTGACAACAGCATTTACACTAAAATATGAGCAAAATGAAAAAAGCACTGTATTTGGTCAGGATCGTGTCGTGGAAGAAATATGTATGATAATGCAAAATCATTACATTTCAGAAAATAGATATTACAAATATTCTTACTTTAAGTAATCCACAATGGAAGATTAATAGTTATATTAGAAAATTCTTTCCTTCTTTTCACCTGTAATGCATCCCCTTACATTTGATTTGTATTGGAACACTTCAAGTCACACCCAGCCATAAACAGTCGTCACTGCTGGCGATAAAATCATAAAAGTTCTGAAAAAATGATCAAAACAAGACAGAAGCAATTTTCCGGGTTCCTGCCGGTTTTAACGTGCCGTCTAATCCCCACAGGACAAAATGTGTTTACATTCCTTCTTGTTATGCAATAAAGGACCGCGTGCTGAGAGCAGGCCTAAATGTTTCAGTCAGAGGAAAAACTCATGTTTGATACGTTTTCATGTTCTTGGTCAATGCACATAAAAAACTTAAAAAATCATTCCACCTTTAAAGAGAATGTGATCATATAAGCTGTACAAAAATACAACAATATTTTACACTTCCCACATCATAGAAAAAAACAAAACATCAACCCTGAAGTAAACAACAAACCTGCGTGCTTCTGAGGCAAGCAGAACAAAGGCACTAACCCATGGCCTACAGAGCAGGTTTTGCCGGCTGCATAGGTGTGGCACCGTCAGCAACATTGAAAGGTAGTTGTGACACCTGCAGATCTGCTGTCAGGTGTGGAAAATTGCTGGTTTATCTCTGACTATTCATGCAAAACCCTTACAATGGCTCTAAGGCATTTTAAGAGTGTTTAAGGGTCAATACAACAAAAAGACAGAAAAACAATCATGTTTATTTACCCTGTTATAGATAGTTGGGTTTTATTTGAGCCACTGGCCTGGTGATAGACTTTCCCCCAGGGTGAGTCTCAGACAGGCTCCATTGTCTTAGATATAAAGTTAAGAGAACAGATGGACGGACGCCCCTGTCCCAAATGTCTCACACACACCGTCGGCTGGTATAGGCTCCAGCCACGCTATGACGCTGCTTTGATAAGCCCCAACACAAATTTAGAAAATGAATGGAAGCAATTGTTGTAGAGCACAATACAAAAAGATGCAAATACATTATATTTGTTTAGATTAGTTAATATGGTTGCCCCTGACAATCAGTAGATATTTGCACCTTTCACTGCAACTGCTTTCAATAGATCAAAGTAGTAGTTAATATTCCAACAACCTCCTTTGGATTAATCTACATCAGTCAGTCACCTCGCTACACTGAAAAACGTCCAAACTGATCACTTCTCTGCAGCATGTAGCGAAAAAAGCACAATGCAGAGAAGCTCCACTCCACAGTGAAAGGAAACACTGTCACATAGCACTGCTGAGCCCGAAACAATAATAGGCAGGTGATTTTAATATTGTGGTGGATCACTTTATATATAGACATATATGTTAAGCAGAGATTAAAAGACGGTATATAAAAGTTGCCTATTATCCTTGTATCTGATGCAGGGGCAGAAACCAGCAGAGATCCAGCTAGCTGCCTCTGTAACCCGACAGAAAACAGCTGGAAGACAAAGATGTCCAGCTTGCTTCCCTGAGACAGCCAAGTCTGTCAGTGCAGTGTTAACCACTGGCCGAATATGTTCAAAAGGCAAAAATATAGTGAAGATTTCATATTGTTATAAACTCACATTCCAAAGGTGGGCTTAGACTGTAACCTTTGATGACCTGAGTTTAAACAAAAAAACAGCTTCAGTCCTCTGAGTCATGACTTACTTCCCAGTGTAACCTGTAACCATGTCTCCACCACCCATGTCCATCATCACATGTGGGCAGTCATAAGCAGACCTTTCTTCAATTGAAACACACTCCGTCTTTACCGAGTCATCTCCAGAGTCATCATCCGTCCCGCTTCTGTCAGAATCGCTGCTGTCCAAATGCGGTCTCTCTGCGTAGCAGGAGTTGCTAGGGTTGTAGTCAGAGCCAGCACTGCTGTTGTCTGCAGACTGACCGGTGTCCTTGAGAAGAACAGTTTCCTCGGGGTCGTCCTGACTGCTGCCTAAGCTTTCGACAGAGATTCGACTAATGTGTGGTCTGGTTGGGTTGGTTGGATGCTTGCTCTGATTCCCTGCACTGTCCTTCTGCAAGGTACAGGAACAGAAAAAGCATTTGGCACAAGGTTAAAAAAAACAAAAAACAGCTAAAGCAACATCATGATCTGCTTATTTTAGTTTAGTTTTTTATTTGACACCTTACCAGAGATGATGGTAGAGTATCTGAGGGGTTAAATGTCCATGCCTTTAGCTTACAGATGCAAGCTGTTACCACAATGAGAACAAATAAAAGCAAGGCTGACAGCACAGCTGCGAGTATCACCTCATTGGAACCTGCTAAAAAAACAAAACATACAAAAGGTTAATTCAGGCACAAAGTAAAGCTAAAACCAAACTAAACAAAAACGACATCAGTTGGTTCTAATTTACAAATCCAACCCATAAACTCATACAGGGCTGCATTTTTAAACATCTTCAGCCTGCAGTTACTATAGATCTACCACCCCAATGAGATGCTTGCTGTGCGATCACATGCAACAGATGCTCAGGACATGTGCTCACAAATTAGAGACGTGTTCTGCCAGGACATTCTGCACCCCTAACTCTAGTACTCAGCGGATATTTTCAAGCTTCTATGTTGATTTTTGAGGTGTTTCTCTTCTGAATGCCCTCCCATCAAGTTAATCATGTAGAAACCATGGCCTTATGATGACTGAACGCAGAGCATGAGAACCTTCACAGACGCAGAGCATTCAAATATCTCGGACACTACTTGAAAGAATGTTTTATCTACAAATTTACTGTCCTTTGGAAATCTATTTAACATGTAGTCACGCTAGCAAATTCTGACCATTTTTCACACCAGTATAGCACCAAAAACAAAATACTGAACTACTTCCTGTTGACAGATGTGCCTGTGCCTTTAGTTTCTCAACTTTGTTGATCCTAAAACCACTCGTCTCTGTCCCACACCGCCAATAAAAAACAAAAAATAAAAAGACTTACGTTGGGGAGGTGATACTGCAGAGGGCCAGATCGTGCATGTCTCTGTCTCCTTGAACTCCACCTGCTGAGCACCGACCCCGACAAACAACGTTCCACTCACATTGACGCACTTCTTCACACCCTCTTTGAATGACACATTATCACATTGGCAGATTTTTTCATCTGTGCATGACGTTGTAAATTCTCCCTGAAAGTCACAGAGGAATTTATTAATGTCTTGATTATTCAAGTTAATTAACAGAAATAATGCAGATCATGGTGGTTGTGACACGTAGCGCATTGGTGCGTTATTACCAACAGGTGGACTGCTCATGCTCATATCTGGCTCCAGGTATTAAATAAGTACTATATAATATACAACATCTTTATTCTTGATTTCCAGGAGGCAGTTAATATTGTCACTTCTAAATTTTTCAGATGTAGTTTACAACCAGCAAACTTTTGTCTGCAATAAAAAACACGAAAATATTTTTTGCGTCCCAAAAAGCTTCCTGAAAATGATCTTACAGACTCATAACTGCTTCCCAGAGCACAAGGATGTGAATTTGATCAAAATCTTCACTATCAAGACTCATTTTGGTCAGGAATAAGAAAAAGAAACATCTGTACAGACCCAGAGAAACATTTGAGCCTTATCATGGTCTTGATGCATCTCAATCATCCAGGAAAGTAAATCTCCAAAAAGTTGATTCTGTTCATCTGGACGTAGCGTTTTGTGGGGGAAACGTTTCGTCACTCATCCAAGTGACTTCTTCACTTCACTTCACTCCCTGTACAGCTGCTATACTGACATACACTTCACTTGGAGAGCAGATAGCCTGCATTTATCGCACATTTATCAAATGATTGAACTAAAATTCTGTATTCTGTTATAGCCAATAAACACGTGCAGCATGCAGCTTTCATGTTTATTAATGTGTTGATTCATTTTCTTCCTCATAAAGAATATGCAAGGTTTAAAATGAAATCACTACATCTTATAAGTATCATCACGGTTTCATTTGTCAAAACACATAAAAACACACAACAATTTTCAGCAGTATATGCCAGCCACCCCTTACCTGTTCATTTTTAACTGTAAAGTCGATTTGGTATTCACGCGTGTCCTTCTGTGCCATCTCTTTGTAGAACTTGAGGGGATTCTGGAAACTTACTGTGGACATCTTCTCCTTCAGTTCTATTTCTACAGGAGGGAACTCTAAAGAACCTAAGAAGAAGAGAAGAGATATCCAAGCTTAATCTCCATCTCTCTCACTTAAACCAGGCTCTGCAAATGTTTACTAGCAGCATTGCTTACATTTTGTGTCGACTGTGACGAAACTGTTAAAGGAGAAAGTATTTGACTTCTCAGCTTCAGACTTGATGCCTCCCTGTACAGCTGCTACACTGACATACATGAACTTGAGATATCTCTCATCCCCAGATTTCCAGATACAGTTGCTCAGGTCATACTCGTGATCTGTGGTTTCAAATGTACAATTCCTAAATAAAAAACAAAAGAACAAAGACAGATTAATCCCATGAATAATACTTTAAATATAGTGGAGGAAAGTCTTTCCAGAGTCTAATGCTGACAAACGGGAGCGCACAAAGCAACAGAACAAGCACAGCAGTGCATTTAGGCACCTGTATCACACAAAGTAAAATCCAAATAAGTTTGAACATAATGTATTATAAAAGCTCATTCTTACCATGGATGAAGGGTTCCTCTAAAGATTTGTGGTTGGGTTCTGTAATCCCAGCGGACAGAGACCTTTACATTTTGGCAGCTCACTCTTACATTTGTTGGAGGTAAAACTGCAAATAAGAAAAAGAGGAAAGAGACATTTATTTCATATATCCTGTTCAGAGCATTTTCCACCAGAAATCAGATTTTATTTTTCTTTGGGAACTTTTCAGAAATTCGAAGAAATGAAGGAGAGAAATATTCAGCTTACCATCATTACTATAAATGGGGTGGACACAATAATAGAAACACCTGACTGCATCAGTGGCCCTCCCACATGGTTGAATCATGTAATCGAGCCTTATTATAGGGTTGCCTGGTTACACCCTCAGAGCTGAGGGGACATAAGAAAAAAAAAAAAATCTGCCACCTACAATGTTGTTTTGTTTTGTTTGGGAAATTCTTCTGGGAAATTTGCACACAGGAACTGAAGTTTCATCATATCCACACCTCTGCTTGCTGCGTGTTGTTAGCGGGGTGGATGTTGTTAGCGGGGTGGATGTAGTTGGGTTTTTTTGTTAGTTTTACACCAAAGAAAACATTTGTTAAAATTTCAACTTTCATACGTGCTGTCAGAGCTGGATAAACACATTTATCATTGGAGCCAATCAGATCTGCACAGACACGAACAGTCTACGCAGTTACCGTGCCGCTGCTCCTGTGTCGGATTTCACAAGAGAGGGAGTGTTAACGCATACTCTGTCTCAAGGTAAACTTACAGTGGCAGATGTAGCTGTTGTTTTTCTGGTTTCTCTCCAGCATTTCACGTTGTTACTCAGTATCTGTCTCACCTGTTTTGAGTCTTAAAGGGCGTGAACATCAACATTTAAGCAAAACAAGGATCCAAAGGTAATTGTCAAAAACGTTTGGTGTGGGCGGAAAAGCTACATTAAAGCCTTTACTGATCCATGCAAAATGAAAACCAAACTCGGAAAGCAAAGATAACTTTAAAGCAGAAATAGTGAAAGTTAATTACACCAGGAACATGATGCTGTCCATAACTACCAACCAAAACAATGACACTGTGTGGACCACAGAAAGTAGGCACTACAGAAACTTTTACATTTTTTTTTTTTGGGCTTTCTAATTATATTCAAGAAAAGATCATCTCTACGCGTTTTTATACAAATTTCACACAACAGTAATTTAGTTAGATAAACGGCACTACAGTCCAGAGGAAACACACACTGCAGAAAGTGTTTAGCGACTGGAGAACTACAGCCAGTATCAAACACTTCCACATCAGGTTCCAACCAAAATGTATAAACTGCTAAATCTTTAGAGCTTATTGTGTTCACTGCTGGTATTAACAACTTATCAGTCTTTGAACGTTTTGCAAAATCATATAATCTTTGCTGAAAGATATCGCGAGTGTGTGCTTCTCAGGACAACAGCTCAGGTTCAAGCTCCTTGACTCCATCTGCAGTAGATGAGCCATCCATCTTCAAATGCTCATTTTCAAAACAGCCACAGACAACAATCAAAGGTGTCAGGCGCCGTAAAAAAGAATAAATACACACGGCTGCAGCGTTTGCTTCAAAGTTAAGTGTGCAGTTGACCTTCAGTTAAATTTAGAAAATCTACACAACAGGTCAAGTTAACGGCATCTTTTGTCATGAATATGTTTACCTGAACGTACAACTCATCACACCATTCACAAAGCCATCACGGACTCTGCAGCAGCTGATCGCTTTGTCCTAGAGTCAGCTAACAACAGGGTCATCTGCATACTTTTAACATGATCCTGTTGCCATACCTGCTGTGGCACATAGCTATGTACAGGATAAATAATAGCAATAGCACACATCCCTGTGGGGAACCAGTTGATTGAAACGAGTTCTATTAATCTGGACTCAGATTCCTGTTAGTTAGAAAGTCAAGAATCCAGGCCTTGAGATTGTTATTCTAAATGTTTAAATGTTGTGAGAGACGTCTGAGGTGAAACTGTGTAGAAGGCTAAAGAACAATCCAAAAGTAATAGAGCTTTACTATTTCTCTCCAAGGATTGAACTGTTAGTTAGATCATAGTTAGAGTTCTTGTTGGGGGCTGTCTTATTTCCTATTAAAAGTAGTAGAACTCTGTCATGCTATTATGGGAAATTACTGTACATCTAGGAATATGAGTTGTTACAGCTAAAGTTAAATGAATGAATCATTCCAAAAGGGCAAGAATTAACCTGCCACTTCCGATCCCATTAGATGTTATTTAATAATCCTGCACAGAGTTCATGTGTCTGACGGATGGTGGAAACATGAGACGGTCCCGTGTTTAAGAAAGTTGGACGACTATAGAAATGATCAGTTTTAAAGATTGTCTGCTGTCTGTTGCTTGATTCATACTACTGCCCTAAAGTGCAGCTGTAAACCTTACATCTAAACCTTTTAAAAGCTAAAAAACACAAACAAACATATTCTGATACCATAGGGTCAGAGGGTTAGGGGGTATTTTTTGCGGTCATCATTGATGATGACTTGGCCCAACACAAGGTTAAATCAAAGAATTTGCCACATTGCTGTTTGTCATTTCAGGTGATATTTGAGACCTCTTTGAAAAAGAAAAACAATAAAGTGATGTTGATGTGAACACACTGAAAGTTAATGACTGCAGTTCACAGCCAAACAACCTCATCTCAAATGTGTAGGATGTGGTGGAGGTCAGATTGTTTGTGCAGGTCAACTTTCAGAGAAAACATTTTTCTTGATGGACCTGGGTTGGTCATATAATAGTTATAATGTTTGAAATTCCAATGAACGCCACCAAACCAACCACAAACAAACATACACGTATTTGATTTGATGAATTAAAGTTTGAGGACAAGGACATCAGAGGAGTGTCATCAACTGACTTGTTCAGTTCTGTGGAATACGCACTGTAGCTGGTACCGTCCTTTATCAGACAGGTTTATCAAGACCTCACCCTCTTTCACAGTACAGTTTGCAAACACTCACAGTGCCCATAGTTGACCTTTGTTTTATAAGGGAAGTTTAGTGTTGCAGTTGATCAAAATTAGCTGATATGTGGTTCAGCATTGAAGAATGTCAGTGCGCCACAACAGGACCGGTTAGCTGTGTTCCTATAAATAGAACGACAAAGCATCTGAGAGGGAAATGACAACTTAAGGAAAAGGTTTTCCACTAAATGAAACTGTTCTTAAAAGTTTCTGTGAAAAGATTCGAAGCAAGCAGGGACAGAGCTACCTGATTACTAATTAAACTGATTGTAAAATGGCCACAATTATATGAACATCACCTCAGCAGCAGCCTGGACCTTGATCACATTTATAACTTTATATTTTCATAGTATCACAAAGTCTAAAAACACATAACATTCCCAAACACACCCACACCCACACCCACCTTTTCCTTAAATCATTAACAAATCGCTATCAACTTAGCTTCTGCTATCAAAATTAGCAGGTCTGGAGATGAGTTCCCAGAAACAGTGATTTGAAATAATAATAACGACATCTCACGGACACTGTACTGCCTATAGATAATGGCTGGAGCAGTCTTCCAGGGAAAGGGTGCGTGGCAACAACAACAACAACAAAAAAAGACGTCCAGTCTGAACAGCATTGCTTGCTCAAGCAAACTCATCAGAACAGCAGATGCTTGAAGGAAATGGAAATCTTTAAGAGCTTCAAATGTCAGCAAGACATCTACAGGTAGCTCTGTAACTGTTAGAGTAATAGTACACACAGAAAAAAGGGGCATGAATCCAACCTTCACTAGAAAAATTTGCTATTCAAAAAGAACTCTGAGGAAAACTACAGCGTTCCAGAAACCATACAGGAAAAGACCAGGTGTGGTGACAGAATGTGCTATGGACAGACGAGTCAAAGGTAGGGCTGTAAATGCTCTGTTTTAGGAACAGGACAGCTTGCAGTCATTCCCTTAACCATGAATACATCATGTCAGAAAGTGTTTGAGGATAATGAGAGATCACCTGTCAAATAGATGAGGTGCTCTCAAGAACAGCACAAAATTCCCATTTTAATTTCCCAACAACAACAAAAAAATACATTCAGGGTTATGGAATGGCCTGGTCAACACAAGTCCCACTGTTGGGGAAATTTGGAAAGGAGAACACACGTAAGAAAACCCTCAAACATCTTAGAAATCAAGGGGGAGAGGTTTAAAACTCCAACAGGTGACATTAAAGACCAGTGTAACATTTTGTTCAATTAAATTGAATTCATTTAATAAAAGATTTTCCTTTAGATTTTTGGTCAAATGTCTCACCTCAAAGAGGATAAAGTGTTTGATTATCCAAATGTATTAGAAAAGTGACAGCACACTGCATAAACACGTTACCTATACTTTTAGCATGCCAATTTCATTAACCTTCACGTCGTTTGGGTGTTGTGATAACTTTTAAGTCATAGTCTTTACATATTTGTAGCAGTTTGATTGTTACTTTTATCACCATGTTTTTGTCACGTGCAACAATGTCCACATTTTACCAGTTTTTTCTCCTTTTGTGCTCAGCTCGTTAGACACATGCCAGGAACTTTAAATTACATGGTGACATAAATAAAACTTTATTAAGTGAACGTATGATTAATGATTGCCCTTAAAACAGCGCAAAACAGATCAACTTTGTATGTACTCTTCGGTGTATAAACTTGTCAATTTTATTGAACCCAAGGTTTGAAGAAACAGTGATTCTAAGATAAGTACTTAAAAGGGTCTACATACCAATCACAGCAGAAACCCCGCTGATCAGAAGGAACAGAACAGTCAACTCATCGCTCAGAGACATCGTTCCGACCTCGAGGCTGTGATAGCGACTATTTAAATTAAACTTCCTCTTCAGAGCCCAGGAGGCGAATAAAACGAATAAAACGTCAACTTGCCCTCATCGAGAAACAGACTTGTCACAACAACACGTGTAATTTCTCATCTGCGAGCTTATAAAAAATATTTTATATTTCACCACAAATCTGCTGATATCAGCGGACTCACATCATTAACAGCTCCTACTCCGACATGTGTCTAAGCGCGTACAACCGACCAAATTTACCTGGAAAACACCTAGGCGACGTCAACGGAAGACGCACTTGTATTTTCAAAACAAAAGCTTTAGACAGCGCACACATTTTCTCGATCACTTGACGCGCTTTTCTCAAAAACAGTTTTCATAACTCAGGTATTTTTCACAACATAGACTCACCCTTTTCACATCAGCTCTCCGATCAATGAATGAAAACATTTTAACACCAACAACGTTTTAAGACTTGGGCACCATTTTTTAAAAAAATGCCTATTGTGGAGAAAAAAAAGTTAAGAAAAAAGTTCAGACATAGAAGTGAAATGCAGCGGATTTATTTGAAACTTTAGAGAATTCCTGAAATCAAAACAGCAAATGTGCATGTGCAAAAACAGGCAAAAAGTCCACAGAAGTATATGCAGCTCGTTGATGCAAAATATGAATCAGACAATTACATGTCAGCAACACAAAGCGGACTGAGAAAGACACACACACACACACACACACACACACACACACACACACACACACACACACACATATATATATATATATATATATATATATATATATATATATATATATATTATATATATATATATATATATATATATATATATATATACAATAAAAGACAATAAAAGCAATAAAAGCAACTTGACTTGACATGCACTCATCGACCACTTTAGTAGGTAAATTAAATCCCTTTTTGCCCTCAGAGCTGCTCACAGTTTGTCTTTTTTTTCTTTTTTTCTGCCTGCCCCGTTTGGCTCTTTTGCATCAGAATTGTTGTCTAAAGGCAAAGAAAGATGCCCAACGGATTTACTTTACCAAATTGACCATCCCAGCCTTGCCGTAATGGTCCATTTGATTCACCTTTTATTGTTTATTTTATTTTCACTTACTGAATACGGGACAGACTTGACTGGGGGAAAGAAGGGGAGAAAGAAAGAGGGAAAGAGAAACAGCTGAGAAGAGGGACGGGGGAGAAGGGCAAAAAACAAAAACCAACAGAACGGGCAGAGAAAAAAAAGAAAATGCATATATCAATCACCTGGATCACCTGCTGAGAAAGAAAAAAGAAAACAAGCAGAAGAGAATAAGAGTAATAGAATAAACAACATCACAATGATATATGGGAATATGACAGTAAATACTAAATGTTAAACATTATTGTGCAGCACATAAGATCAACAGCACACAGTGTGCTTTGAGTTAGGAGCCAAAAAGGGTGTAGTTTGTGGGTGTGATCACCCGTGTGTACACCTGTGAGCATGGACGTGCTTGTTTTTAAAAGGTTCCTTCATGTAATGATCTGCTAGAGGGTGTGGGGGGGCCACAGCCCCGTCCTCCAGGGCATGAAGCAGGTATGGAGGAGATCAAAACTCCAGACATCCAGAGGCCCCCAGAACACAAGAGACCAAGGAAGACCAACAGAGGGGCAGCCGCGCCACTGTCCCAGAAAGAGCTGAGGAGAGTCCCAGATGAGGGTTCACCCAGCAGCCGCGGAGCAGAAGCCAGGGGGGGTTGCAGTGACGCGCCCGTGAGCTCCGCCGGCAGCCAGCCGTGCCTGAGTGACCGAGCCCCAGGCCGAGAGGCCGAGAGGCCGACGGCACCCCACCTCTGAAGTGGCCCGAGCGAGCCCCAGGCTCCAGGCCCCGATAAGCGGCCGCCAAGGAGTGAGCATCAGCAGCAACTCAAAGCCTTTTAAGCATGTAGACATGGTCAAGACAGCTTGCTGCATTTCATACTGAGCATCAGAATAAGGAAGAAAGAGGATTGAATCATTAATCTCACACAGCCTGATTTTCCTGCACAGCCATTTACATGGAATGGTCTGAAATGAGAAAAATCCAGTTATCCAGTTCCAAGATATCTTTACCCAGCAGTCCTCTCGGTAAATGTACAGTCCTGATCAAATACTTAAGAGCACTTGAAAAATGGCAAAAAAAATATCTTATATTGCATGGTTGAGTCTTAGCAGGGTTTGAAGTATAGCTTCAACATGCAACAAGAAGAAATAAGAGTGAGACAACACATTTTTTTATGAGCATGCAATTTATTGAAAAAAAACGCTTAAACTGAAACAGGCTATTTTACAGCTGATCAAAAGTTTAGGACCACATGCCTTTAAAAGGTCAAATCTGTGCAAAAGTGTGGATTTATTGCCATTTTCTGTAAGGTAGTCACACTGTCATGATGTTCTGATGGCAAAGTCAAAAACCCTTCTCCTTCTTGAACATGGGCGGGTTGTTGAACTGCATAAGCAGCGTCTCTCAGAGCGCACCATTGCTGCTGAGGTGGGACGCAGTAAGACAGTCATTAGGATTTTCTTAAATGATCCTGACGGTTATGTGGATGGGGATACAAGTCGGAGATCGGTAGCGTTACAGAAAAACACTGAAATGTACACAACAATGGGAAAGAACAAGAGGAAAAAAAGAGACCTCTACTCATGCTGTGCTTCCATGGTAGGACAGCACGAGAACAGGAAACGAAAAAACTCCTCTGCACAAAAAGCACATAAATGTCCACAGCACAACATTGTGAAAGACATGACAAGCCACAGGATTGGGTGGGGGGTGAGGAGTAATACGAAGCGAACACAGCAGCCGCCCTGCACAGCGCTACCATTCCAGCACGGCACACAGACCCGCCGTGTTCCCCCGCAGGAAACAAGCATCGAAGGCGTTTGGAAGGGAGGGGGGATGAGTGTGTGCTTATCAGTGTAAGTGTATGTGTGTGCATGTCCATAGTTCAGCTGAGACAGTGTCCTCTGCCGTGCCAGGCTAAGTAAACAGTCTTCCAGCCAACCCAGGTGGCCTTGCATGGAATGGGAAGGAACAGTCTAAACACAGTCGTTATCAGAGTGTTGTTTTTGGGCTCCAGCCCCTGTTCTTCAGGAACTTCACTGGCTCCCTGTGAAATTCCGGATAATATTCAAACTTCTTCTGCTCACCTTCAAGGCCATTCATAACCTCGCTCCTCCTTACCTTTCTGACCTGTTAACCACCACCTGTTCTGCCCTTTCACGTTGATCTTCTTCTTCTATCCAGCTTGCTGTACCTTCCTTCCGCCTCACCACCATGGGAAGCAGAGCTTTCAGCTGCTCTGCTCCCAGGCTGTGAGACTTTCTACCCCCAGAAATAAGAAACATTGGTTCTCTCCCCCAGTTTAAATCTCAACTCAAAACTCATCTTTTCAAATCTGCATATTCACTGTGAATCCACTGTTTGTTAATTTTATTTTATGCTTTTGTTTTATTTTTCTTATTTTGTCATCGTTTTATTATGTGTTTTATCCTATTGTAAAGTGTCCTTGGGTGACTTGAAAGGCACTCATGAATAAAATATATTATTATTATTATTATTATTAAATATGACTCTGTTCTTATTATTGGTGATTTTAACATGCACATCTGTTGTAAGGATGACCTGCTTGCTAAAGACTTTCTTGCTTTAACTGACTCTTTTAACCTCCTACAGTGGGTAAATGGACCAACCCATGTTAAAGGCTATATGTTGGACTTGTTCTTTACGTATGGATATATATATTAAGGATATAAATGACGCTGGAATGATCATTTCCCAGTTATTTTTGATATTGGTTTATCTGCCGTGGGACCGCAGTCTGTAGCTCCCTCTTGTCTGCTACATATACTCAGCTCTGAAGCTGTGTCAAAGTTTGCTGTGTCTTTTTTGGATTCGGTATTTATGATTCCTGACTGCTGCTCAATTCGCTCATCTGATGGTTATGCTAATATTTTGTTATCATTATTTTCTTCTACCCCTGATTTGGCTGTACCTGACGGCTGTTCTCTCTGCTCGGTTGATGGTTATGGTAATATCTTGTTAGCTCTTTGTTCTTCTATTCTTGAGTCTCCTGCTCCCATCAAAATGAAGCGCTTCTAGAACCTACTCTCATTGCTGGCTAAATAATACTACGCATGCCTTACGACGTGTTTGTCGCTGTGATGATAGAAGGTGGAAAAAAGGTAAACTTCAGGTCTCTTATGATATGTTATGGACTAGCCGCTCAAATTTTCAAACTGCTGCTAGAATGGCTAAAGCATCTTTTTTTCCCAAAGTCATTCTGGCTAATGGTCATTAACCATTAGTACTGAGCAGAATGGCTAATGACCTAATGCTGAGCCAGAATTTGTTACTTTGTTTTTAAGTAACAAATTTTAAGTAAAAAATTTTGTTACTTAAAATTTTTAATTCTGTTGTTAATCCCTGTTCTGATATTCCTTTACTATATTCACAAGCTCTTTGTGAGCATTTTCAAATTCTCTTTTTAGATAAGGTTTCATCTTGAAAGTCTTCCTCTTCATCTGCTTCTTGTCCTGTTTTTTCCTCTGGGTGTAATTCAACTTTTCATCGAGTTGAGCCCGTGGTACTTTTGACTCTCAAGCAGCTGGTTGATCAACTGAAAAACACCAATACTATGTTTGATATTCTCCCATCACGCATTGTTAAGGGCTGCTTTGATGTAACTGGACCAAGCATTCTATTCTTAATAATTTAAGAATAGTCTCTGGATCCGTCCCACTGGCCTTTAAGCATGCTGTAGTCCAGCCTATTCTAAAAAAAAAAAGAATCTTGATTGTTATGATCTCTTGAACTACAGACCGATCTCTAAGCTTCCATTTCTGTCCAAGATCCGGGAGCAACTAGTTCTTTCTCAGCTTCGGGTGTATTTAGACGCAAACAACATTGCAGAGAAATTTCAGTCTGCCTTTAAGCCACGGCTCAGCACTGAAACTGCCTTGCTTAGAGTTCTCAATGACCTTCTTATAAGCACTGATTCTGGACGCTCTGTGGTCCTGGTTTTATTGGACCTTTCCTCTGCTTTTGATATGGTGGATCATAACATTCTTCTACTAAGACTTGAGCATACTGTGGGTATTAGAGGCACTGCCCTTAACTGGTTTAAATCTTATCTGGCTGACAGGTCCTTCCCGGTTAATTTGGGCAACTTCTCGTCTTCCTTGGTACCTGTACGCTGTGGTGTGCCTCAAGGA